AAAAATACGTATAGAGTAATAAAAATAGGTATAGAGTAATGAAAATAGGAAAATACGTATAGAGTAATGTACATTTTTAACACGTATATAAAAATGGTAATAAAAAATTACGGAGTATTAATGGTAGAGATGTTGAACATTAATGCAGCGAAACAAATTTGGGCAGATTCTTCATACCATAACTTGCATAAACGAAATTAGAAATTAAAATACGTATAGAGTAATTAGAAATTAAAATCTATACTTTATTTAAAAAGAGGTGAATGTTTTCCCGCCCAAACATGAGACTCATATATGGAAAGTGTTGACAACAAAAATGATAGTTTAATTATTTGGCCTTATTGTTGCAGTTTCAAGAGTAATAAATCACAATGACTTGAAGATTCTGATATACAACGAAGTAAATGCTCACACGAATTATACGAGTGATGTAGTTTATAAATAAGTCTTTCGAAATTTGTAAATCATTTTACTTTTGTACTTTAAAATAATGAAATTTCTATATTCCATTATATACCAATTTATATTCCTAAAAATGATCTTAATTTAGTACCATAACTATGACCCGTGCAACGCACGGGTGTGATACTAGTGTTACCAAATAACGAATGAAGTTTGTAAAAAACGTTTCAAAACTTATAACACTTCCAAAACTCCCTTTCTTTTTTTCTATTTTTTCAATTTATATAATCTTTTCAAGTTTTTGTAACATTTTTCCTTATTCAAAATATTGAGTACTTATATGTCAATTAATAGCCGTGCGATGCACGGGTACGAGTCTAGTAAGTTATAAAAACAAAGGGGATATTAGCTAGTGCAAATTTTTCAAACCATAGAGAGCACTGGAGCTATTTAGCCCTTTTTACCTTCTGTCATGTTACGTTGGTGTTAAATTGAGAGTAAAATTGTAATTCTACATTGAATCTATGTCCAGTAACGTATTCTGATATTGGCTTGAGTCCGACAATGACGACAATTAATAGACAACACAACAATAACGATTATGACTGTGGATTAAGAGTCCGACAAGAGATTTGAGGAGTCTGATTGAAGTAGATAGCGAGAGTGCATTGACTATGACAAGAAAGATATACGATCATTGTAAAATTATACTTTTGGTCTTTAATTTAGAACCAACATTAGCGCCAACATGATAGAAAGTCAAAAAAGGACTATCCATGAAAAAATACTAATAAAAAAACCGTGGTAATATTTCATAATAGAAGAATAAATATGGAAAACTCCTTATAAAGGATCATTTATAGACTTTACTCTTTCAACAATTTTCTTACTTTGTGAAGGTCAACCCAAAATTTGATTCTGAGATAGAGGGTGTACTAGAAAGAGATGTTACATAAAACATAACTAGTATCACTCTCGTGTGTTGCACGGGTCATATTTACGTTACTAAATTTGGATCATTTTCGAAGGATACAAATTCTTATCTAATAGAACATAGAGATTTTATTATTTTAAGACACAAAAGTTAATTGCTTTACAAATATTGAAAGACTTCTTTATAAACTATATTACTTGTATAATTTGTGGAAAATTTGTCTTTGTTGCATATCAAAATCTTGCGTTGCATAACACTTTGTCTTTGTTATATACTCTTTAGCGTATTAATTAGTGTGCAATTAATAGTGCAATTAATGGCATTTTATTAATAGTGCAATTAATGGCATTTTATTAATAGTGCAATTAATATTGCATAGGGTTTATGCAATATTAATGGCATTTTATTAATTACCAATTAAATTTCACAATTACCATATGTAATGACTAGCACTCTTGGGCGGGAAAACACAAATACCTCTTCCCCTCTTTTTAAATAAAGTATGAATGTGGATATGGATGGATACTCCATCTGTCCTTAAGGATACATTTAACAGAGCCATATTACATACTCTAGCCTGTAAGTCGCAGATGATGGGAGTTATTTGTTTGTCCTTGTGATAAGAAACATAGGTTTCACTCGTTGCACAAGTTTATGCTTCCAACTGTGGCAAGATTACCAGGGAACATGGCAGGCTTAAGATCTCATTCACTAATAAATACCATATACAACCCAATATGGCTCCCAACGTAGCCGCAAGAAGTGGGTTCAAAACTGCATGCCACTACTTGCACTAAGGTAAGAATTAAGATGAGATTTTAGACATACCAAACCAGCCTACTCGGGTAGCTTCAAACGACTGAAGAGCACAAGGAAGCTGTGCTCCGGAATGGCGTACAGAAAGCCAAGATCTGCACCTTTAATGTGTGCCCCGAAACCCTAAATTAATCCAACATTTAATCAACTCTCATAGTTTACACAGGCAACTCAAAATATAGCAGGACAGAAAACATGAGAATGTGAAGTAAAAGGTTTGTAGATTACCTTTCCGTTGAGTTGAAGCAGCTCGCCCTCGACCCACTTGGGATTTTTGAATCCGTACTCTGCTATTCTGCCTTGGCCTTTGTAGCTTGCAACCTAGAGATATAAATGCAAAATGGCTCACTCAAACATATAAGGAAGTTCAAAACTGAATATGTTTCTTGATAATAAAAAAACTACATTATAAAAAAGCCCGTTCTTCATTGACATCTACAGCTACTCCTTACAGTCGTTACAGAAAGAAGCGCAACTTAAGATTTTCTGATCATCTAAGTGACGATACTACCACCACTAGTTCTGAGTTGAACTATGTTCAACGAAATGAGTTGAACTATGTTCAACGAATCTCTGTTCTCTGTCAACTCATTTGAAACAAATCCTCAGAATGAGTTGAACGTAGTTAGACGAATAGTGAAATGAATCCCTTGCTAATATCGAAGTGAGATATCACTATTGATTGATAGAAAGCCCTATTGTAGACTAATAGCTCTAGCTTTCAATTCCTCCACACTTCCTCCACTAGGACCGACCTTCCGGGGAACATCCGTGTTTTCCAATGACGATCCAACCTGTCATGCGCTGCCTCGGTTTACCATCATGCACCATTTATAACTATTCTACCTTGCCGTTCTCCGGTGACTTCCATCAGCAAATTCCCCAATCAAGAGACGAGTTGCAGGACTTTCAGGGAAGGATTCGCCATCGTGAGGCGGTGGCCACGGAGCACCATGGAGCCACAAGCACAGATTATGCAAATGGACAGACATCTCCAGGTGAATCAAGTGGAGCAGCACCCTTTGTAGGCAGCTCAGCAGTGGTTGAGGTGTGGCCAGCGCTGATGGACATGACGAATATTCGGGCAACTCAAGCGGTTATGCAGCCGGGTGCTCCGGCGATGCAAGAAGCTCCGCTAGTTCTAATAATTTCTTCTCCCTTCATTCACTATCTCGTTTTTTTGTGGTAAATTGTATATTTGTTCAAATAGAGAAAATATGAGGCTCTTGCATATGAAAACCAGAAAAATCAGAATTAATAAGTATTTACCACTCCTAGTTCATCTGGGTACATCCCTTTGTTAGTAGATCCATTCCCTTTTCCAATTTTACCACGAAATGTCACCTGATGAGCCAAAAATTCACTAGTATCTTTTAGTACAGGATAAAACAGTGGCTCCCAAACTACAGTTTTTCACAAACCTCGCCAGCAGGTACATTAATATCGCCTGTAAGTTTTATTGCCTCAACATACTCAAAGAACTCCATATCAGATGATTTATTTTCATCTTGTGCATTCCAGTTACCATATTTACGCTTCATTTGCACAATCTCCGTAGCATAAGGTCCAAATGCCCCTACATAAAGACCTAACCAAAAACAAATTAATTAAATCCTCAATATCAAATATTGACAGAAAAAAACAAGAAAATGTAACCTTCTATAAATATAAGCATATGGGTTAAAACATAAATTCTCCATGTCTGTGTGTGCCTGTGTGTGTAGGAGTGAGGATGCTGACCATCAAAAGGATCTAAATCGCTGCAAGGTGTTGCGATCCTAGTAAATTGTGTATACTCAGACATTCGATTCTGATTCTTCACCTGACTAACAAGCTGTAGTATTTCTCTCATATTTTTTTGAATCTGCAGTAGTTGTAGCTTAGAAAAATTAGGCAACTCATAACGTTACTGAAAAAGGTCATGCTTGAGTGAAAATTACATCCGATTTCTTTTACTTTGTTTAATTCATTTACTAGTAATAATTTTATCTTCTCGCTATCCCGAAATAAATTTCGCACTTTCCTATTTGAGTTGTACCAAAATAAACTTCATATCTTCATAAAATGAAAGTTTTCATTTAGAGTTTGTCCTTTTGACTTGTTTTCAGTTTAGTAATTTCCTGATAAAATCACAACTTGCAATTCAATAAGGGTCCGTTTGGTATACAGAATTGATGGAATTGGAATTGAATTGGAATTGAAATTCCATGGGATTCAATTTCATAGAATTGAATTCACCAATTCCAATTCATTTTTTGCACTATCAATTCCAAATCCATATAATTTTGTGCTACCAAACACCAAAAATGGAATTGAAGTCCTCAATTCCAATTCCATAGTTTGAATTCCGTGTACCAAACGCGGCCTAAGTTCAATTAAATTAAGTTCAGCTTAGTTCAGTAAATTCCAGTAAAAAAGAAAAAACCCTTAATAACATTGCTCCTTAGTCCTTACCCCATCCTTTCCATTATAAGTGTTATGGATTCTTAAAAAACCTTGT